ACAATCAACTTAGGATTGAATAAGTACTGGGGATGGCTGAGCCATTACAAACGTTGAATCTATCTCCCCTTGCAAGTATTCTCACACTTCTTATCAAACTGTCTGTACTGGGCTATCTTGATTATCACTTCAAAAGTTTTTTTCACTTACTTAATTGGCCTCTCAGAGTTGGTAAGACAACTTCCACCTGTTCGTGCTCTCTGTATGTGTGTGTGTATATGTATGTATATATATATATATATATATATATATCCTCAATATATGTTCCCTTCTATAAGCATCCGAAGAAGTGGGCTGTAGCCCACGAAAGCTTATGCTCTAATAAATTTGTTAGTCTCTAAGGTGCCACAAGTACTCCTGTTCTTTTTACATGAGGTGAGAGGCTCATGTACTGAAAATATTTGACCATACTTAGTTATTTTGTATGTAATTATGTTAAAATACTGTATTTCTAAGGTGACTACATCAGATGACATACATCACAGGAAACAAAGTGCAATACATTCTTGCTGTAAACGTGCACATTAGTTTATCTGCAAAATGCATCATCTTTTCCCCTGGGATAGGTGTTGTGATTCCCATTTATTTAGTGTTTCTGCAGGCACTCTGAATTACAGCAATTGAAGTACTCTGACATTCCCCAGGGTGCAACCTGACCTGCTGCGTCCCTGTAGCGCTACAGCCTGGGAGGCCTCTTACACTGTGTGCTTTGCTAGTGAACAGCAATGCCTCCAGGCTCTGCTCACTTACAGCCACTAGCATGTAAAGTCACTACCAACTGAATACATTAATGCTATGCCCAGACATCCATGCATCACCTATAGGGCAACACCCGCATATCCCTCAGTCCCAGCCTTGTCCCTAGAAATTTGCACCTTGTACTGTTCAGTAGCCCACTGGACAGTACAAGCTCATTAATAGTCTGTCATTCCACCAATGGGAACAATTATGCACCAGCCTTGTTGTCTCAAGTGGAGGTTTCCCAAATACTTCAATCGAGCACACTGGTTTAGATAAAACAATGTAACAAGTTTATTAACTAAAAACAATGTAACAAGTTTATTAACTAAAGAGAGGTTTTAAGTGGTAAGGCATAAAAGTCAGGATTTGTTACAAAAGAAATAAGATAAAACCGCAAGCCAATTACTAAACTTTACTAAGATAAAAAAGATTTGAAGCAAACATTCTCACCACACCAGCTGCAGCAGGCAACATTCTTAGTTTACAGGTCTCAGGCTGGATTTCCTTTCAGCCTGGACCACTTCCCTTAGTTTACTGTTTTTCAGGTATTCATTGATGTTCTGAGCAGAGATATAAGAGGGAAAGTTGAGGTGGTTTAGAGGCATTTCTCCCTCCCCTGCTCCCCTTTTTATATCCCAAACTCTTGTGTGCTGGAAAAATCCTTGCTGGGTCCGTCATGTGGTAGGCAGTTCCATTGCCTCTGTGAGCTCTAAAGTGTCTTTCAGAAATTTCTTGTTTACAACTCCCCTGTAATAGATTGTTAGCACTTTGCTGGCATGCCAGTGTGCCTTTGTCTCTGAGGAATTGGCTCATGGGTGTTAACCAGAACTACAACATATTTCAGAAACAATCATACAGCAAAATATCATAATTTCACATGCCATGTTTTTACACATTTGAACAGTATAATAATCAGCAGATTGAGTTTTCAAATGATACCTCACAAGGCATGCTTTGTACAAAATATATCATAACCGTATAAAAGTGGTGAACATGGGGTACAGGGTGTCACAAGTACATCTGACTGAGTTCAATTGAAAGTACAAATTACCAACACAGAATATCAATAAGATTGAGCTTTCAGGGAAGAGATTACTGTGAAACAGGTAAAGTTAGTATTTTGCCGTTATATGTTTTGGCTCCTCTGGGTGTGTTATCCAGGCCAGACTTTGGATGCTAGAGTTTTGCAGATCAGCTTTGTGGTTGTTGAGTGCTAAGAGAACTTTTTAGATATTGTATTCAACAAAAGTTTCTAAATTTTACGAACAGAGGCAGGATAAGGCAATATGATCCAGTGGATAGGGTATGAGACTAAAACCCAGTTTCAGTTCCCTGCGCCACTTCATACTTTGTATGATCTCTGTGCCTCAATTCCCCCATCTACTTTACAGAGTTGTTGTGAGGATGAATACATTAAATGATTAAGAGGCACAGATATTATGCTAATGGGAGCCATATAGGTATGTAAGATAGCTTTAATTTTATCTTATTCGGAGTCTAGGTAGACATATTTGTCTACATTAATTTTGGTGAAGCTAATGACTCTTTCATTTAAACACCATTCAACTACAGAGCTGTGTGCCACAAAAGGATTCCCCTTCAGTTAATTTAAGTCAGTTGTGACTGCTTTGCACCACTGAAATGGGACAGAGTAATGAGCTTCAGAAAAATTCGGCCCATGGTGTTTAAATTCCTTAAAGTGAATAAAATCTCCACCTTTCCTTCTCTCCTTTTGTGCCTGTCCAGACCTTCACTTCCATGCTCTCACTGTCACCTACATCCTTCCAAGCCACCTTTGGTTCCTGGTAGCTCTTACTTTGCCTCTTCCTGGTTCCCGGCACACGTCTGTCCATGCCTCCCCTTGTGTACCTGAAAACTGTGCAAAGCCTCATCCATGAACCTCTTCTAGTCTTTCTCATGCTCTCCTCTTTTTTCTTCTTATGCCTGCTTCAGTCTCCTGCACCCCCTTCTACACCCTCCTCTGTGCCCCACCCAGTTCCCTGCCCTTTTTCTCCTCTATGTACCATGTCCATGCATGATTTACTTACTTCACCTTTATCCCACCACCACCACCTCCTCAGTCTGCTTTTTGCTTCCCTTCCTGTGCTCCTTCCTCCCACCCTCCAAGGAGATCCAAGAGCACATCACTACATACTACCCGTCTGTCCCTTCTTATCCCTTTCCCCTCCTCATCTCCTACTAATCCCACATCCCGGTCTCCCTCCCCACTTCACAATACACACATACATTTTCTGGCTCAGTCTAGCTGTAGTGCCTGGAGGCAGCAACAAGTCCATTTATAATATGTTTTTATGTTAAATCTTTTATTTTCAAGTTGCACTATGTACAAAGAAAATCAGCTGTTTGTAATTCTATTGTGATCAGAAGAGCTATTGTGAACAAGCTATTCTGCAATAGCTTGCTATTACAAAATAAAAATGATTTTATTCCAGAATAATTCCTCCACTTTGGAAGTGCAATAATTATTCCTGAATAATCAGTTACTTTGAGTCTGGAATAAAGTATCCACATGGCAAGCTATTAGGGCTATTCTGGAATAGATATGTGCATAATGTATGAGCAATAGCTATTCTGATGATTCCAGGGGTAGACAAGCCCTAAACATCAATTCTCCCCCGGAAGGTCAGCCACCTCAAAAGACTTATATGTGATTTATAATGAACCAATAAAATAAAACTAAACTTTAAAAAAACATGGCAGGGAAATTTTTAAAATACCTTCAAATATCTTTTCTGATTCCCCTCCACTCTGCTCCTGGGCCTGGGAAGCAGCATAGGAATTGTCAGCAGAATTGGTTTCTTTTGGGGGATGTTAGTGAGGCAGCTGCTTTTCTTACCATACCATGTATGACTATATCAGTGATTCCTAAACTGGGATTTGTGAAACGTTACAGGGGGAGTTCTCAGGAAAAAATTCCCTAATGGCGGACAGAGCTGTCCCTAGGGACCCCGGGCAGCACGGGGCCAGCAGCCTGGAGCCCCTGGACTTCCAAGAGCTAAGCAGATCAAAGCAAGCATATCTATCACACTGAGGAGATTTAAACTTCAAGACTCCTTATAAGAAATGGAAAGGGAGGTGGATATTTTTTGTTGTTTTTAAAATTAAATAGCCAGCTAGTATTGTTTTTAAAATTATGAAGAACAAGTTTAAGCTTTGTTGTAATGTGTGTTGTTTGCCTGGACTGCTCAAGACCTGAATGCTTGTGTAGGAGGAACTCTTTGAGTTGGCTTCTTAAATACCTTCATGCTGTTTTACATCAGATACTCCTTGATGAAACATAGGAGCCATGTCTTGTATCACTTTGAATAAGTCTGTTATAAGCTATGAAAGTGAGATCTTGGAAGAGTGTTGCTGTTTTCATAATGTAATAAAAATACTGTAATGATAATTAATAAAGTGTGTAATAAGATTGTCATAAAAACAAATTTGATATTGCCAAGATCACTGCTTTTATAATTTATACTCAGGTAAAGGAGAAAATCCCTGGAAATATTCATTTTTAGGAGGGGGTTCGCAAGACTTGACATTTTAGTGAAAGGGGTTCACAGGTTGTTAAAGTTTGGGAACCACTGGACTATATAGTCACCACTTTTGCATTTTGTGACCTGACTAACGCTAGCACAGACTGAATCACCAGCATGCTTTGCTGTGGCTTAGCAGTAGCTGTTCCATAGTTAAGGTTGAAGTTAGTGTTTCATGAAAAGCCTGACTTTCAATAACCCTTCATCTAAAGTTCAAAGTAAATCCCGGGCCACGGCTACCCAGGGGCAGATTTACCTAGGACGTGTCTTCCTTTGATTCTTAAAATACTCCTACTTACTACTTTTAAGGAGGCGGATCATTATAATGACCCCAAAAATGGGTCAGCTTTTAAACTCCCCCGCCCTGATGCTGAGCCAGTGACGCCCAGATGGCGTCAAACCTAATCAGCCTTGGAGAGCAACGGGCTCCTGAGCCCCAGGCCGGGAACAGCGCAGACCTCGCGTGGTGGGGGCACTGCAGGGCGCCTAGAGCCACAAGTGCGTCCCCGGACCTCCTCGCTTGGGCCTGCCCAACAGCACCTCGGGAAACCGCTCGCGCGCAACACCTCCTCCGCCCAGGTCGCACTGGACGCTGGGAGCTGTCGTTTCGGCCGTTTGAGGCATCGTGGCCGCCATGTTGCTGACGTAGCACCCGCCTGCTTTGGGGGTCGGTGAGGGTTGGGTTATTTTCTGCATTTCTTTTTCGCTATTATTAACTCGGTTAAACACCAAATAAATACCGTTAAAATTATTAACATCAACGAGGTGTTACTCCACTTCCGGCAGGAAACCCCCGCACCCGCGTCTCACCGGAAGTAAAGGTACTTCCGGTAAGATGGCGGCGGCTGGGAGACTGGGGTAAGTTCCGACCGCGGGGGGACCTCACTGTCTTCCCTTCCACTCCTACTTCCCACGGAGGCTGCTATTCCCTGCCGGGGCCTCTCTGTCCCTTTGCGTGTGGAGCACGGTGGGGGCGGGGGATGGCGCGGGCTCTGACGAGGGGCTGCCTTGGTACGAGCGGTCGGGGCGGACGCTAGCCGCCCATCTCCCCAGTATCCGCACAGACTCGGCGCCCGTTGAGCCCCCCTCCCCCGTTTCCTGAAAGGGCGCTGCCATGGCAGTGGCCCGCCCACGTTAGTGCACCGGCTGCTAGGTCGGTCCTTCGCGAGTCTGTCTTTGGGTCCACGCTGCAGCACCCGCCTCTGCGGAATTGGCTCCTCGCCGTTTCACCGCTGCTCACGGCCCGGGAGTGTCAGAGGTGGGAACTGGAGCCTCTCGGTTACTAAAAAGCCTGCTGTACACTTCGAAATCGCAGCGACCGAGCTACCGCGCCCAGGGCTGTGAACGGTGTCGTGCCCTAAGCACCGTAGTTACCGCGACCTCACCCACGGTATAGGCACGGCTACGTGGAGGGAAGGATTTTTTTCCATCAAACTGACTCCCACCTCTCAGAGAGGTGCATTAATGACCTCGAAGGAAAAACCCTTCAGTCCCTATGTAGCTATGCTGCTGTGGTGCTAGTAGTGTAGACATAGCCTAAAAAAGCTAGTAAAACTGCAGGAACAATAGAGGCCCTGGAGCTTGCTGGTTGTTTTCAGGCTTCACAAATCACGGTGTCAGTGTCAATCTTCACTTCCGCAGTTTAAGCTGCTTCAGCAACATAAGCAGTGATGGGATAAGAGTTCTCTCATGGATTGGTAGCTGGTTAAAAGATAGGAAACAAAAGGTAGAAATAAATTGTCAGTTTTAAGAATGGAGAGAGGTAAATAGTAGTGTCCCCTAGGGCTCTGTTCTAGGCCCAGTCATATTTAATATATTCATAAATGATCTGGAAAAAGGGGTAGACAGTGAGGTGGCAAAATTTGGAGATGAATCAAAATTACTCAAGATAGTTAAGTCCCAGGCAGACGGCGGAGAGCTGCAAAAGGATCTCTCAAAACTGGGTGACTGGGCAACAAAATGGCCGATGAAATTCAGTGTTGATAAATGCAAAGTAATGCATATTGGAAAACATCCCAACTATACATATAAAATGATGAGGTCTAAATTAGCTATTATCACTCATGAAAGAGATCTTGGAGTCATTGTGGATAGTTCTCTGAAAACATCCACTCAATGCGCAGCGGCAGTCAAAAAAGCGAGCAGAATGTTGGGAATCATTAAGAGAGAGAACAGGAGTACTTGTGGCACCTTAGAGACTAACAAATTTATTTGAGCATAAGCTTTCGTGGGCTACAGCCCACTTCTTCGGATGCATATAGAGTGGAACGTATATTGAGGAGATATATATACACACATACAGAGAGCATGAACAGGTGGGAGTTGTCTTACCAACTCTGAGAGGCCAATTAAGTAAGAGAAAAAAATTTTTTTTGAAGTGATAATCAAGCTAGTCCAGTACAGACAGTCATTCTCTGTCCTTATGGCTGAGCCATTACAAACATTGAATCTATCTCCCCTTGTAAGTATTCTCACGCTTCTTATCAAACTGTCTGTACTGGGCTAGCTTGATTATCACTTCAAAAAAATTTTTTTCTCTTAATTGGCCTCTCAGAGTTGGTCATCCCCAAATGCATCACCTTACACTTTTCACTATTAAATTTCATCTTATTTCTGATACTCCAATTCACAAGCTCATTCAAGTCTCCCTGCAGGATATCCCTGTCCTCCTCCGAATTTACAACGCCTCCCACCTTCGTATCTGTTCTTTTTGCAGATACAGACTAACACGGCTGCTACTCTGAAACCTGTCATTAAGAGAGAGAGAGATAATAAGACAGAAAATATAACATTGCTGCTATATGAATCCATGGTACACCCACATCTTGAATACTGTGTGAATACTGTGAATACATGGTCACCCCATCTAAAAAAAGATATATTGGAATTGAAAAAGGTTCAGAAAACAGTAACAAAAATTATTAGGGGGCATGGAACAGCTTCTGTATGAGGAGAGATTAAGACTGTGACTAATGGGGGCTATGATAGAGGTCTATAAAATCATGACTGTGTGGAGAAAGTAAATAAGGAAGTTTTATTTACTCATAACACTAGAGCTAATTAATAGGCTGCAGGTTTAAAACAAACAAAAGGAAGTATTTTTTCACACAACGCACAGTCAACCTCCCAGCTAGCTAACAAGTCCCTATGCTGTGAAAAGGGATAGTAACACTTTTTACAGTAGATTTACTGAGCCCTGGCAAGCCTGGGGATAGATTAAGCCCTGGATGGGGAGGTGGATGGACAGGCAGCAGGGGCCATCGGCGATGAGGAATGGAGGAGGCAGCGGGGAGCCTGAAGCCTAAGGGATGGAACCCAGGAAGGAGCTTGAAGCCTGAAGCCCGAGATGGGGCCTTGCGGCCAGGAGACAGGGCCAGAGCCTGAAGCCCTGTGGCTGGAGCCTGCCATCTCACCAGCCCAGGGCTGAAGCCTGAGCCCCACAACCCCCAAGAAGGTGGGGAACTCACTGGCTGCCTGCTCCTCCATGGTTGTGCCCCAGGTGTCTCCAGAGGGGGACGGGGCCCAACCCCTGCCTGCAGACCCAGCCACCAACACCAAGGTGGCACATCCAGAAGGAACAGGGAGGGGCATCTGCTTGGCCCCCAATCACTGCCCAGCAGGCTGTGGCCGTAAGAGAAGCCCCTGGTGGCTGCATTTGGCCACGGTGGCCACATTTGAGAAATGTTGATCTAGATCATTCCTAACAGGTGTTTGTCTAAACTGCTCTTAAAAATCTCCAATAATGGAGATTCCACAACCACTGTAGGCAATTTATTCCAGTGCTTAACCATCCTGACAGTTAAGTTTTTTCTAATGTCCAACCTAAACCTCCCTTGCTGCAATTTAAGCCCATTGCTTCTTGTCCTATCCTGAGCGGTTAAGAACAACAATTTTTCTCCCTCCTCCATGTAACAACTTTTTATGTACTTGAAAACTGTTATGTCCCCTCTCAGCCTTCTCTTTTCCAGACTAAACAAACCCAGTTTTTTCAGTCTTCCCCCATAAATCATGTTTTCTAGACCTTTAATCATTTTTGTTGCTCTTCTCTGGACTTTCTCCAATTTGTCCACATCTTTCCTGAAATGTGGTGCCCAGAACTGGACACAATACTCCAGTTGAGCCCTAATCAGCACGGAGTAGAGCGGAAGAATTGCATCTCATGTCTTGCTTACAACACTCTTGCTAATAATTCCAGAATGATGATCGCATTTTTTGCAACAGTGTTACACTGTTAACTCATAGTTAGCTTGTTGTCCACTATGACCCCCTAGATCCCTTTCCGCAGTATTTTTTCCTAGGCAGTCATTCCCCATTTTGTATGTGCGCAACTGATTGTTCCTTTCTATGTGGAGTACTTTGCATTTGTCCCTATTGAATGCAACCACCAGGGACTTTTATTGAGGCCACAGCCTCCTGGGCTGGGGGGGAAAGAGGAAGAGTAGCAGCCCCTCACCCTCCCTGTTGCTCCTGGATTCCCTGCCTTGCTATTGGTTGCTGGGGCCGCCAGCAGGGGTTGGGTCCTGCTCCCCTCTGGAGTCACCTGGGGCACAATGCTGGAGGAGCAGGCATCCTGTGAGTTCCCCACCTTCCTGGGGGTTGTGGGGCTCAGGCTTCAGCCCTGGGTTGGTGGGCTGACAGGCTCTGGCCGCAGGTCTTCGGGCGCCAGATACTTGTATGTTTGTTAATATCACTTTTCACAACGGACTTACTAGCTAGCAATAAATAAATTACAATTTGGATGTGTATATACGCATATTTCTTTGTTTTTCCTAAAGCTAATTAAGTATTTTAGGAAAAAGTGGGAGAGTGGCCACCAGCAAGAGACCTTTATTTTGTTTAGGATGCACTTCCTTTTCCAGAGTACTCAAAAAAACAAAACAAAAAACCACCTAATTTCAAAGACAAGTGTATTTGGTAAACTCCTTTTTTCCCCACAATCGTTGCTCTCTCCCATAACTGCCAAGTTTCAGAACTTGACTATCTGCATTTGCAATACAGCTATTTGTGCTTACATTTCTAAAATCAGGGAATCTAGAATAATGTCTGACAAAATTCTTTTAAATAAGATAAAAATTACTCCGAACATAAAAATATACTTAACCTGACTGAATTCAGTATATTCCGTGTTTGGTAAGTTATGGATGGTACTCCTTTTCCTTTCTTTCTTTCTTTTTTTTGTTTGTTTGTTTGTTTTTGTTCACGGATTTTTTTTCCCCAGTTACTAGTCCTATAAACTTTATATAGAAGGGAAAGATCTTTAAATCAGGAAATTAGAAAAGACTAAAGGCAATAAGAGAGAGTGATTTTCTTCTGGCTCTAACATCCAGTTTTCACCCCAGATTTGCCAAATGTTATCTTGCAATTGAAATGCTGTTAAAATACTGAGATGAAAAGCAACTGGAACAGTCTTCGGCCTTCTGCTGCTTTTCAGCATTGCCAATGTGGATTTTATGTTAAGAGGTTAAACCTTCCTTCCCCTGATGAGAGTTTGAGGGAATGTCTTACTGAAAAGTATAATCAATAGGATGACAAGATTGCAGCCGGAAGCAGGCTTTGGCAAACAAAGCTCTCTTAACTTTGTCTTTGCAATGAACGATATCCAGTTCACAGAATGGAAATTAATACTGCCTTTGTTTGGAAGTGGATTTGATATCTTTATGATCATCTTGATTATTCTAAAATTTTATTTTATATTAGAATCTTGTCTTACACGGATACACACCCGATTTCAGTCTCAGACCGTCAGAAAATACTGAATTTCAGACAGACTTGCTTTTATGTTCTGATAGAATAACATTTCTTTTATTTAAGAAAATGTTGGTAGGTATTATCCTTGTTTTTTCTGTTTTTAGCAGATTAAAACATAAATATAATATAATGTAACTTTAGTTATGTGAAGCAATAAGAAATATTCAAGTTAATGTCTTGGTGAGATGATTCCTAAAATGGATTCTTTTAAAGTTTTGTAAAGATCACAACTCATTTCTCCAGTCATTGTTTTACCTTTAAAAATAAATCTAAATATTGTTTCATCAGTTATAGAATGTGTTGCTTATCTTTTATAGGTGAAACATTTTTTCATAAGAGACCCCACATTTGAATTGAGTTACATTATCATTATTTCTGCAAGTTCAGAACTTTAAGTGAGCTACAGGAAAAAATGAAGAGTAGAGTGGCACAGATAAATGTAAGTATTGTGAAGTTTAATTTTTTGAGAGAAGTACAACATTGTTTGGGGATTTTTGTGTGAGTTTAGTATGTAGGGGCCTATTTCCACTTCATATATGAATACAGATTCCCTTAACTTCAACAGGAGTTATAGCATATATTGGGGAGAGAATACATGTATCATAATTAAGAACAAGAAGTATTATTACTTAAACCAGCAAACTGCAGCTGGTTGATGGGACATCTGTTGCTAAGAATATCTGCACAAGTGCTCCTGGCAGCAATGTGAAAAGGGAATGAAGTGTGAAGAGAAGTTGGTAAAAGATGGAAACAGTTCAGTAGAAAGCATGAGTGAGTTGAGGAATAATGGAGGGTTATGAGAATGGTGGGGAGGAGAAATTGATTGCATCTTTCTCTGGATTATGATATTAGTTATTCATTTTACTATCATGCAATCAAGATTGCAAGTATGGTATTTGGATTCCTACAATTCTGAGAGACTTATTTCTTACGGTGAAGGGTCCTGCGCTTTCAGATTCTGAATGTTGTATGTTTCGGAAGGGACAGTTGCAGTACTGTTAGCAATGTAGCAGCAAGCAAAACTTCTGTTTGAAAACAGACTTTCTTCTGGCTATTGGCTTCATGGTGCTATCTCTATGAAGTTAAATATTTTTTATGTAATTTCATTCACACAAAGGTATATAAAAACTTCCCTTCAGATAACAAAGTAGAGAAATGTTACCAATACAGTTGAGATCCATCTAATATACTCTAAAAGCTAAATATTTGCAGAAATAATAGATTTTTTTTATTACTTTCCAGATCTTGGAGTGTTTCTTGCATGAGATGTTAATAATTAAGTAATTAGTGGATGGAATTTTTAGAAATTAATTTATAGTATAGAAGTGCTCACTTTAGAGTTTTGTCTTCTGGTCACCACATAGTCATGACTACAATGAAATGCATGTTATGCTTAGAGATTATATCAAGGAGTATTTTTTCTCATTTATTAATGAAAGGTGCTTGATCATTAGCTTGAAGTCTGCAGGAGACAAAAATCCTGCATTTATCTTCAGAACACGCACAGCACAAGCATCAATAATGCAAACATCTTTATGCAGCTCTGTTAATGTGTTTGAACATTGGTCTGGAAGGACAGGGTTTTAGGGTTAGGAGCAGGTATTATATATGGGGCGTTGGGGAAAGCTGAATAGTCTCTTCCATGCTCTTTCTGCTTGAAATGCAAAAGTCAGACACACTCACAGTAGATCATGCAGCTGTTCAAAATATGATCAAGGATATTCTGCTGAGCTTGGCTCCCCAAAGGGCTCAGCTCCATCGATTAGATTAGAAAGGGAAAAAGCACTCACAGTAAACTAGATGTTCATGATATGATCGTCCCTCTGTTTTCTTACCTGATTTGATTAGCAGTAAAATAGTTACCATTTTTAATGTTTAAACATTTTTGGAGTTAACACCTATTGAGATGCTTGTGGCAGTTCATGTATCTCAGAGCTGTTGTTTCAGATTCCCTGCAAACTCATGCACTGATCATATTAAGGACTTGTCTATACTGGGATTTTTTTTCAGGGCAAACCCCATTGTAGATGTGCTGCACAAGTGCAACTGGCCCATTTTGCACCATTGCAGATTTTTCCATAGAATGAAGTGGGGGGCATCTCTCAACCCTAAGGGCTAGAAATGTGCCTTTTTAAAATAAGTTGAGATTCTGGAACACATGATGGCAGCTTAAAAAACCAAAGTATTGGCTCACTGAGCCAGCATGAGTCAGCCCAGTTGGACCCTGGATGGGAGGATATTTCAGTCTTAATTTGTGCAGATATTACTATTTCTCCTAGAAGCCTCAATCAGAATCAGGATCTAGTTGTATTCTGTACAGCATCTAGCACAAATAGACCCTGCTCCAAGTAATAAAAAATATAATTTCCTTTGTTTGAATATTCAAACATCATTTGGTATTGCTGTCCATCAGGAGGACCCGTTATTAAACTGCCTAGCTTTCTAAACTTATATTTGACTGGCTCCAAGGTGATATAGAAACTAGTATGTCAGCTTGTTAGTGGGCACACTGCCATCCTTATAGATGGAGTTAGGGTCAATATATATTCTATATGAGTATTGGTGACAGAATTTCAGTCCAGGAATGTTGTAAACTGCTCTTAGTATGGTGTTTCTGCATCAAGGTGATGGGTTACTCTACTTCATAGGTTTTTTTTTTTTTTTTTTTGTCCAGATGGGATCAGTTTGTGGTTCTGGTGAATCAGGAATAATATTTTTCAGAGGGAGGAGTTAAATGTTACAATGAAAGGGCAGAACTCAACAGAGATGGTTGCTAAGCATAGTCAAATTAATTGTGAAAGGGCTTGGTAAGCTGTAGGAACCTATTTATAACTTCTTTTGTAGATTTATTGTAAGTGTACTTCTGATAATTCTGAATCACTGTGCATGGCTCTGGTTCATTTTGTGAACAGAAGTATTAACTTTACAGTTAAATCTTTGTTACATGACAGATTTGTAAAATGATTGCAATTTTAACCTTTGAAAAGTACATTTATAGAATAGTTTAAATGATAAATGTATAATTTAGAAAATGTAGAACAAAGGGTACAATGTAACTTGGACAGATATGATAAATGAGGCAACTGCATAGAAATTTAGGAGAGATAGGAGGACATTATGGAAAAAGTGTATTATAAAGAGGAATTTGGAGGAGAAAGAAAGGGAGAGCTTTGTTAAACAATGGGTATAGTAGGAGACTGTTCAAAGTATAGGGGGTGGCATGACAGCAGGTGTAAAATTTCAGAGTGGGAGAAGGACATAAAATAATCCTTCATGTAAGAAGATAGATATGCTTAGTAAGTATACTATTATATAAAATGTACTGTGGTCTAAAATAATTTAATACTTTGTTTTAAAGCATGGCTCCAGTTATGAAAGAAAAGAGAGCCACAGCTCTCGCCGGAGGAGTTCCTCTCCAGAAGACAGGTAAACAAGTATTTGTTTTAATTGCCTTTAATAGTAGTTAAAATTGTGTATAAACTTCATCCGGAGTGAATCAGATAAGTACAGTCAAACCTCGGAATAACGCGCCCCGCGATAACGCAAATTCGGATATAATGCAATCATAAGTTGGTTCCCCTTTAAGGCCGTAATACTGTTTGCGTTTTGCCAGAATACTTTTTTTATGACATTTATAAATAAACCACATTCTTCCGGTCTTATAGGATAAAGTGACTCCTGGCCATTGCAGGCCTATTGCACTTAGTTCTCGGATTGTACATGTGTCTGGTGTTTGCCTATGAACTTGTTATTGATTTCCTATATTTTTAATAATATTTTACCATTATGGATATGCCAGTTCGCAAACGCAAGTCATTTTCTGTCCAAGAGAAATTGTACGCCCTGGATCAACTAAAGAAGGGCAAACAACAAACTCAGCTTGCTAGAGATCTAGGAATTAGCAAGTCCACTCTGCGAGGGTGGAAAAAAGAAGAAAAGCTCCGTAGCCTACCCTGCATTCTTGAAGCGGAAACTGGTTTACAGTGTAAAAAGGTCAAGTTTGCCAATGACGAAAGCCTAGATTCAGCCTTGTACCAATGGTTTGGCCAGGCTCGCTCAGAAGGAGTTCCCATGTCTGGCCCTATTCTGAAAGCTCAAGCAGAAAAATTTGATCGCCTTATCAATGGAAATGAATCCAAATTTAAGGCGAGTAATGGCTGGCTGGACAGATTCAAGAAAAGGCACACTATAAGCCAAGTTCTTCTGTCTGGGGAAATCCGCGCAGCTGATAAAGAGGCTGCCGATTCCTACCCAATTGAGCTTAAAAAGTTGCTGGAGGAAGGTTGCTACACAGCCGGTCAAGTTTACAACTGCGACGAGACTGGTTTATGCTTTAAAATGTTACCCGATCGCACCCTCCAACCAGGACTGATAATCACAAACAAGAAGGCTTTAAGCTGAGGAAGGACCGAGTCACTCTCTTGTTTTGCGTCAACAAGTCTGGCAGCCACAAAGTCAGACCTCTGATGATCGGAAAAGCGAGGTCTCCCGGATGTTTTCATCACGTTAATATGAAGACCCTTCCCTTTGAATACACCAACAGCAAGAATGCATGGATGAATAGCTCCATATTTAAAGACTGGTTCCATAAAACTTTCGTGCCAGCCGTTCGGGCTCATTTGCGAAAACTCAAGCAGGAGGAAAAAGCTCTCCTCCTGCTGGATAATTGCCCTGCCCACCCCTCAGCGGAAAGTCTTGCCAGTCGTGACAGCAAGAGTAAAGTCTCTTATCTCCTGAAAAACACTACATCAGAAATCCAGCCACCGGACCAAGGCATCATGTCGGTATTTAAGCAAAACTATCGTCGCGAAATGATCAAGCGGATGGTAGCAGATAACTCCTCCGTCGACACATCACTGTCGTCACTCAACTTGAAAGAAGTCTGTCACCTCGGCTGGAAAGCCTGGGATGCTATCTCTGCACGTTGCATTGAACGATGCTGGATAAAGGATCTTGGTCCAGCTTTTCCGTCATCTTCACACGATGATGGTAACAACAACGAGCCTGAATTTACAAGATTCATTGAAGATGACGTACCTTTAGCCGAAGAAGCACTCAGAGAATATGAGCACAGTCATCATGATATCCTCAACTGGTTTTCAGCAGCTGACATCTGCCCCATATATGAACACATCTCAGATGAAAGCAACAGAGGGTCCATTCTTCAGATGCAAGAAGTGAGGTTCTTACCCACGAAAGCTTATGCTCCCAATACTTCTGTTAGTCTCAAAGGTGCCACAGGACCCTCTGTTGCTTTTTACAGATTCAGACTAACACGGCTACCCCTCTGATCTGAAATTGTCGCAAATGTCAGCGGAAAGAATGAAGCTGTACCATCAGAGCCTGAAACTAGTGGCACTAATGGTGACGACAATGATGGCACCTCAACTCCCCCACGAAAAGTGTCCGAGGCAGTAAAGCACCTAGAAGACAGTTGGAGGTGGCTGGAAACTCAAGACGTGGACAGCGTCAAAATCCTCCAACTCAGAAGCATTCTTGACTTTGCTAGAAGCCAACAGTCCGCCGCAAATAAGCAGACCACACTAGATAGCTTTTTTTTTTTTTTAAAGAAGTGATGAAATTTAAAATTATGGAGTCATGCAACCAGATTGACTTTGCACTCTGCGCAATGATTACTATAGTCAATCTCACATGTTTCTTTTATGTACATGTAATTAAATTACTACTTTTGTGTTTAAAACACGCTGGGATAACCGTTGTTTTATTTATTTATTTATTTATTTTTATTTTTTTACAAGACTTAAACTGACCGGCTTGAAATGGTAAATTTTCGTAATCCCACTATAAAGCGACTCCGCATTTATTGTGATCGAATTTTTTGGACCCCAATTATCACGGTATAACGGGGTTTCACTGTATAACAAAACACATTTTTGTTCCATATTTTTCACTTATGCTAATAAGTGAACATGAAAAATATAGTTATAGACGTAATACAAAGTCACTAATTGTGGATGAAAATGGGAGAGCAGTAATTGAATGTGTTCTTAATTAAAGATTTTAAAACTCTTCAATGTTCATTTTGAATACTGAACAGCTTTAAAATGGAAATTGGATTCTAGTTTCTTGCCTGGCTCCAGTGCTGTTAACCACAATTATCACTTTATAGCAAGGTTACGGATGTCGGCTGGAGACGCAAAAATGCCATTTCTTATGCTGTCTACCATACATAAGGCATGAACTGAATTCTTTCAGGGTAACTTTCTTTTAATTTCCATTTCACTTACAGAGGGGGGATATGATTGCTCTCTTTAAATATATCAGAGGGATAAATACCAGGGAAGGAGAGGAATTATTTCAGCTCAGTACTAATGTGAACACGAGAACAAATGGATATAAACTGGCCGTGGGGAAGTTTAGGCTTGAAATTAGACGAAGGTTTCTAACCATCAGAGGGGTGAAATTTTGGAACAGCCCTCCGAGGGAAACAGTGGGGGCAAAAGACCTCTCTGGCTTTAAGATTAAGCTTGATAGGTTTATGGAGGGGATGGTTTGATGGGATACAGTAATTTTAGTCAATAGGTCAATAACGTGCCTTCGCTGGTAATTAGCAACAATGGTCAATGATGGGATATTAAAAGTTACTATAGAGAACTTTTTCCAGAGGGTCTGGCTAGAGAATCTTGCCCGCATGCTCGGGGTTCAGCTGATCGCCATATTTGGGGTCGGGAAGGAATTTTCCTCCAGGGTAGGTTGGCAGAGGCCCTGGAGGTTTTTCGCCTTCCTCCGCAGCATGGGGCCAGGGGTTGCTTGCTGGAGGATTCTCAGCGATTTGAAGTCTTTAAATCATGATTTGGGGACTTCAACAGCTGAGTCAAGGGAGAGAATTCTTCCAGGAGTGGGTGGGTCAGCTTCTGTGGCCCGCATCATGCGGGAGGTCAGACTAGATGATCATAATGGTCCCTTCTGACCTTAGAGTCTATGAGTCTATGAAACATTCTGTGGTACTAAAACATAAAGTATGTTTTCTTTTATGCCAGTACATATGGTATACTTAGCTCTGCACAAGTAAACAAAGGTGACAAATATAGTGACTGGATACATTCAGTGGGCTGTCTTGTGACTTACATAGTGCTGAGTACACTCAATATTTAACTTCAAACTCTGAGTGCTGAGTTTTCTTTTATAATGCTTCTTTTAAAGGTCACACCCCTATCAGATTAATTTGTGTTTATCACTAGGACTATATGATTTATTAAAGTGTGCATCTTTCCGTCCTGAATTATATATTAATAGTGAGGCTCAGTTCATTGGTACAAAAGTGGGGCCTACTGGTTTTTAAAACATTGGTATGTGTGCATCAACCCATGACTGAAAAACAAACCCAAGAGAGTACAATTCCTATAAACCAGAAGTTTAATAAAGTGATACTAAAAAGGTTTTTGTTTGGGGATGGGAGTAGGTATGCAGAGCGTGAGAGGTCTTGGTCCCCTAGAGACAGAAGCTACTCTGATCACAGCAAGTATGATCAAGAATATTCAGGAAAGGGGCGTGATGACAAAACTGTGGAAGCCAGGTGAGTATTAAGTATTTAGAAAATGAAAAATAGTGTTCATTCTGCTTAATATAGTTTTCAACAATTAGTATTTTGGTTAAAAGTAAAACCATTACACTTGCCTTGGTCTGAATTCTTGACAATATGTTCAGCCTTCATCTCCATAAAATGGGAATTCTTTAACGTTTACTTTCCAACTTTCGTCTGATAGGGGGTGGGGTAGAGAGACTCCCCAAGAGAAGGGGCGAGAGAAGGAATCTGATAGAAGGAAACAAAAAAAATTCCCTTCACCTGATAGAAAAAGTCCAGAAAGATCAGTACCCCAGAGCTCACTGGCTCATGATGAACCCCCTTCAAAGAAGAGAAAAGAAGAGCTGGATCCAATTCTCACCCGCACAGGTGGCGCATACATTCCTCCAGCAAAGCTCAGGATGATGCAGGAACAAATTACTGATAAAAATAGGTAAGTCAAATTTAACAAATTTCACAATTAACAAGATTTACTGGCATAGTAGAGCACTGTAAAACAAAAGTGTAAAATATTTTTGATTGGCTGATCAAACATGAAAGTTGTTCAGAACCCATGAAATGCAGAAACAGCGATGCCATGTGCTGTAATTTTTGGGGTTGTGACCTACCTTTGAAATGTAAATAGTAAAAAGTAATATATAAATATGCATCATAAATGTGTATGTTGATATTTTATCCTGTAAAATAGCTTTGGAATATCTTCTTTAATTAAAATATATCAAAATATTTTGAGAAAGGTGACAGTTATGAGTACAGTGGACATACACAGCAAAAAGGGGTAGGAATACATTTATTTTCCAATTTCGTTTTTAAAAAAGGGGGAGGGGGTTCCTTTCATTTTATAAGTGCTTACACTACTACTGAAATTTCTTTTTTTTAGTCACTAAGAATGAGGAATTAATTCATATCTACACTCACTAAATGTTAATCATATGTATTCATAAATAAGAAACACGATTACATAGAAAGGGGTATGAGTCTGTATAATTTGTGACATTTTTCTGTGTTACAAATTAGTTATGGCAGGAACTGTAAATATGCCAAAATCAAATGCCTTTTTTGCAAACAATTGTTTTTCACAATTCCCTAGGAAGTCGTTCAAAAATCTATTATTGAATATTGCAGATAAGTCTTAACTATATTGTGGTAATTTTTTTGAAGTATAATATTTTAGTATAATACTGTTTAACATTCCTGTATGTTGTTCTTTTATTCTGGTTCATTTCCTGTACTTGCTATTAGCAGAGAGATTTGTGGGATAAAGTTTTCTTTTCTTTTCTTCTCCATAGAAAACCATACTTCAGCATTAACTTTACTAGTTTTATTTGGGTTTGGTAGAGAGAGAGAGAGAGAGAGAGAGTTTTTGTAAATCAGATTGGTTTAGTAGTAGTGAGTTACAGTCAGTATACCATAATCATAAAACCAAAACTGAAAAAGGCAGCAAAATATATCGTAAGCATTGCACCTTGGGGCTCCTATTGACTACAAATTAATTTCACATTTTTGGTATATTAAAGTGTATTTATGGTGTCCCTAGATATACCTGTATTACATTATTAATATTTTCATAATAGCTTAGCATATCAAAGGATGAGTTGGGAAGCCCTGAAGAAGTCAATCAACGGTCTTGTCAATAAGGTGAATGTTTCTAATATAGAAAATATCATCCATGAACTTCTTCAAGAAAATATTGTCAGAGGAAGGTAAGTGTCAAATGATTGTTTCATAATAAATAATTGTTTAGTTTTTCTATTTATAATATGTAAAGAATACTGACACTAAGACAAACTAAGACTAGTCAGTTTTTTAAATAGCTCTGAAACTCTTCTATGCTATAAAAAGAACCTGCATGGAAAATAAGAATGGTTTTGTTTGCAGAGAAAAAACATTTGCTGCTGGTAGGTTGGAGAGACCAGAGTAAGAGGTTACCCACTTTTTGCCTAAGTGGTTTTCATTTTAGGAATACTTTTTTTTTTAATCCCTAATTACAGGCTGTAAATCCATGTGTATCAGTGGAGAAAAGCACTTTTTCAAAAAAAATCCGTATCTAGTAGTGTGCTTGTGATCACTACTGTCTAGTGTGTATGTGCTGTGCCATAATTATCCTTGCCTTTGTAACCTGTGGAATGGACTACTGCAGTGTGTTCCCAGGCCATATGGAAACTATAGCTGATATATAATGCATAGCTTGTGGTGCTGTTGGTAGCATAGTATACCAGTTTTTCAAAGACCAGATTTGTTCCTAGTTTTCAGGTATAGTTCAATATGTTGATCTATGAAGCTATTTATAGTTTGGATTTTAGTTATGAGAATATTCCTGCCCCTAAGGTCATCTGGGTTGTTTTTGCTAACACTCTCCAAATTTAAATGAAGGAGGGCCCTTGATCTGCCAACATCAGATTCTGCTGACTTTCCAGGGACCTTGCAACAGCCATCTCTTCTTTCTGTCTTTTGCCTGCTAATGGTTATATATTTATATTTGTACAGAGGTTTTAAATAAGTTTTAACACTTATTTTATTCAACAGGCTATTTGTATTTTGTACAGCATCAAAAGTTCTTTCATGGTTAAATGGTTTTAAAAACTGAAATTGAGTTAAAATCTTTAAAGCAATTCTGAAAGGTCAGTTTGTAGGTAATATCTTAGCTGACCCTTTATACCTCACTTAATATAGTATCTGCTTTTTTTGGTTTAAATACACCTCTACCCCGATATAACGTGACCCGATATAACACGAATTCGAATATAATGTAGTAAAACAGATCAAAGCAAGTTCGATATAACTCGGTTTCACCTATAACGCGGTAAGATTTTTTTGGCTTCCGAGGACAGCGTTATATCGGGGTAGAGGTGTAGTTGAACATAATATAAAAAGGGAAAACCACACTGAATAGTTGGGAGCAGGTATAGTTACAGCATCAAACGAAGCAAGTACATACATTGTAGGAGGATACTCTAACATAAGGATGATGGAATTCTTGCTCAGTGAGTTTTTAGAGGCGTCTAATAAAAATTGGTGAGGATTAAAAGGGGATTTTGTCCAAGACTAAAAATGTTGCTGCAGACACAAACCTGGTGGTAGTGCAGTTGAGAAGAAATATTCAGCATTGTTACTTTCCCAACTTCAATTAATTCTACTAAGCAGAACAAGAAAATCTAAATTAATACTATGATACTTGTGATTACACACACTGTAGCAGTAACATCATCTGAGGCAGGAAGGGCGGGCTTCTCGGGATCTGAGTTTTACACTGTTAAATAATAGTTGTCCTACTGTTATTAGAGAAGTTTAGGGAACAGGATGGGAGAACCTATTGAGTAGAAATGATTTCATCTCAAGCATTAGAATAGATCTTCAAATTCATTTCTCATCCCTGATCACTAGGCATTTCCCATGCATCTGGAAGACCACAGCCTAAAAGTAGCAGACCTAATGGAAAAGAATTCCTTGAGTTTCCCAAGCAGCATAGGCTCCACATACTCTATCTTCACTGCTTCCACTCAGAAGTTGAAGGTTGTTTCATATTGTCAGGACAGCAGGCATGACCTTCCCAGTAAAACAAGATTGAGTAAAAGTAGTGCATGTCATATGAAAACAAAAGATCTAGCATGTATGATATCTGCACTTTACAAAAGTTAATTCAGATAAGGTGCTGATTTTGGGTTGTTTACAGTGCAGGAAGCAAAAATCACATCCTATCAATAGTATTTCTATGACCCCAATCATCTGAGTGTCTCATAATCTTTAATGCATTTATCCTTACGATACCCCTGTGGGGTAGGGAAGTACTGTTATTCCCACGGGCACAGAAAGGCTAAGTGACTTGGACACGGTTAAATAGGAAGTCTGTGGCAGAGCAGGGATTTGAACCCACGTCTTCCAAATTCTAGGGTAGTGCTGTAATTGCTGAACCATCTTTCCTCTCTGTTCTACTTGTCCATTTCTCTCTGACATATAGACAGGGCAGAATATCTCTGAGCTAACAGCTGCTGTAAGATGGCTCATGTCCTCTTTTTTCTCTCCCCCCACCCCACTTCAGCTCCCTCAGTTTATTCCTCTGTGTTTTGTCTAGAAAGATAAGTCCTCAAAAACTTTTTGAGAAAGGAGAAAAAGTATGTTAATCTCAGTTTTCTAGTATTAATCTCGTTCATTAGTTATTACAGATTGGTATAAACATTAGATATTAAACTAGTCAGCAGTCTTAAAATTAATAAAGATATATTGATATCAGAACAGCTAATCCAGAAAAATAGATGCCCTCTTTGTTTTTAATGAGAGAAGTAAAAAAGCCTTTTGGTCTTCTACTAAGGTTGGTGAGAAAGAGAAGCAGAAAAACCAAGAGCAACACATTCTGCCTTGAACAAAGGCAATTATTTTATGTCTAGAACGAATAATTTTAAAAATACCTGGAAATACATATTTTGTTGTTGCTCTAGGCAGACTATAACACCTGCTATAATGTAAATGTTACAATTATGGTACTGTTAGGGCAGGGGTGGGAAACCTACGGCCCATGGGCAGGATTTGGCCTGCTATCTAATTTCATCCAGGCCGCAGCAAGCCTCCACGCTGCAGGCCAGAAGCCCTGAGCCTCGGTTTCCCCCACCCCCACCCCCCCACCGCGCCCACCCCTGTGCGGGGCTAGAGCCGTGAGCGCCAGCTCGCCCCACTGCGGGGGGAAGCTAGGGTTCCCAGGCCATTAAAAGTCCGGTCGGCTCCGGACAGCTCCTGGAAACATCTGGCATGTCCCTGCTGCCCGTACGCGCAGGTGCGATCAGGGAAGCTCAGCGCACTACCCCTGCTCTGAGCGCCACCTCTTCTGGGGACCGTGGACAATGGGAGCTGCTGGGGTGGTGCTTGCAGGGGTGGTGCTTGTGGGCGCAGGCAGCGCACACTGTGCAGCACCGCCTGGCCACACCTCCACCTAGGGGCCAGATATGCTGGCCACTTCCAGGAGCAGTATGAAGCTAGGGCAGGCAGGGAGCCTGCCTTAGCCCCGTTGCGCCGCGCACCAAGAGTCGCCTGAGGTAAGCACTGCCCAGCCGGAGTCCACATCCTGAGCCACCTGCCCCTCAGGTTGGAACCCCCTCCCACACTCTAATTCCCTCCCAGACCCCGAGCCCCCTCCCACACCCTAACCCCCGTCCTAGCCCTGAGCCTGCTCCTGCACTTCTAACCCTTTGGCCCCAGCCCAGAGCTCCCTCCTGCACCCTAAACTACTCATCCCAGCCCCACCCCAGAGCCCGCACCCCCAGCCGGAGTCCTCACCTCCTCCTACACCCCAAACTCCTGTCCCAGCCACAAGTACTCCCGTTCTTTCTCCCAAACCCTGAACCCCTCATTTCTGGCCCCACCCTGAAGCCTAGTGGAAGCCCTGAGCCTCCACACACACACACGCCTGTGGGGCTGGAGCCACAAGCGCCAGCTTACCGCGCTGCAGGGGGAAGCTCCGAGCCTCTGCGCCACCTACCCCATGGGGCTGTGTGCAGACTGTGACTGATTTTTTTAATGTGGGTCAGTGGCCGCTTTAGAAAAAAGGTTCTCCATCCCTGTGTTAGGGTATATCTACACAGGGATAAAATACTCGCAGCTGGGCTGGGTCAGCTAACTTGGGTTCACAGGGCTGAAAATTTGCTGTATAGATGTTCGGGCTCTGGGACCCTGCGCGGTTGGAGGGTCCCAGAGCTCAGGCTCCAACCTCAGTCTGAATGTCTACAAAGTAATTTTTTTTTTTAGCCCTAAAGCCCAAATCAACTGACCCGGGCCAGCCGTGCCATGCTGTGGGGATTTTATCCCTGTGTAGATGTACATTTAGAGAAGAGGGATGTATTGGGTATGCTATTTTTTTTTTTAATCTGAAGTGGAGGAGGGATCCAACTGTTGCAAAGAATCTAAAAAGAAGAAATAACTATCTAGGTCCCAGGCATCACTTCTAGCAGGAGGTGACAGTAAAGTCTTTGACAGCCTATTGTAGAACAGTTTTTATTGTAGCACTTTCCTCTCTGTGAATTTTATATCTGAAAAACTGTATTTCTTTCTTACAGGCAGTGATTATTTTTAAAATATGGGTTACATAATTTATTAAAATAGTTGTCTAGTCTCTGGGAGTTCTTTGTGTGCTTGTGATAAAGGTTTTTTATCTAGTTTTATTAAGTTGCATGCACAAATTTTAGATATAAAAACAGCACCATTTGGCTTTATCTCATTTAATTAAATTGTAACTCCTAAACTGGCACAAAAACCCCCCACAAGTTTTTAAAGGCAAATGCAAAATTGGAAAGACAATTTTTTTTATTCAGCTGTTAACATACAGTCGTGATAGTTATCTTTGTGTCTATTTAAGATGGTTCCAGAAGAAGCATAAGACTAATCTTTATGCCAAGTGAACTCTTGCACTCATGGAGAGTTCTGTTGAAATGCAAGCAGTCAGAGCTCAATTGAGTGGAGAGCTCCATGTGGGTGCATAGATCAGGTTTCAAGATCTAGGTCTTAGAGGGCAAATCAGTTTTGTGTGTTACGTTTGTAATAATATAGGTAAAGGAATTTTTTACATTATTTTTAGGTTCCACGTCCCACATACTACAGAGAATGAGTAAATATTAATAAGAATTCTTTTGTTTCTGTGTTACTTAGGTTAGCCAGGAGACTAGAATGCACAATCTTCTGCCACTCCATTAATTTTCTGGAACTAGAACTGGGTGGGAACCAGAATTTCAGTTTCATGCAAAATTCTTCAATTTTGAAATTTGTTTTTATTCTGAATAGGAACAAAAACATAATTTTTGAAATTTATGAAAAAAATCTTGTTTGGGCTCTGCCAAAATGGTTTGTTTTTTATTTTAATTTTAAATTTTATATTCTAAAATAAATTTCTAAACAGTCATTTAAAAACTAAATATGTACATGTTCCATTCCAATAGGATCATTTCCGATTTTTTTTTTTTGCAACAATATTGTTAAAATCAGCATATTTCCTCACCCATCACATTTTAATTTTGGTGAATTGACATTTTCCAGCAGAAAAAAATTGGATAATTTTCAGCCAGTTCTACCTGGAAGGAGATGTTAAAATGAAAATGTGGTGCATTGAGCCCAGTTTTATATAATAATTTAAATTAGGTAATATCTCCACTATACACAAATTATAATCTGCCATTTATACTTCAATTTAGGTTGAATCAGCTACTCCTGATCTTTGGGGGTTTATGATTAGACCAATTCACAGGATAAAAGTCTCTCCCTAATATCCTGAGACCAGCACGGCTCCAAGAAAACTGCAAATTTAGGATAAAAATTGGCATGCAAAATTCTAGCCTGGAAATAAATGTTTAAGGCCTGATGTTACATTCTTTGGACACACACAGATTCTATTGTACTCACCATATGTCGTGTGAGACAAATTAACTCTCTTATTACAGTCCAGCATATATGAATCGTGATAGTTTTTTTTTATGTAATGTGTTCAGATGAGTAGCATGTACTAATAATATTGTGCTGCATTTGATAAATGCATTTGTTTGATACCATAATTTAGTGAAGTGGCAAGGGATGGAGTGCCTTAATCTTTTAGATTCATGTCAAAACCTTAATTTAGTCATTTAATGATTTGGGTGAAGTTGGAGTCCCTGAAAATGAGGAACTAATAGAATTAGGTAGTGGCAGGCATTTTGCTAGCTTCCTCAAAGCTTTGCCAGTGCACTTAAATCCGGACATGCAACAGTGCCCCAATTAACGTGTTGGGTTTCTTTTGATCTGAGTCTGCCAATTACGCTGAACTGGGCCAAGTTGTTAACAGTAGTAGTCTTTAGTGGGTAGGAAAGTAGTTAATATAACCACTTGATCATCTCCTCCCTGTCTCACTGTTTATGTTCTCAGAAGCAATGTTTCTGTCCTCAGCTGTCAGTTCAACGAATAATTACGGTGTTTAAAAGTTTGCTGGTCCATGTGGGGAAAATTCATAGCATTACAATTTGAAGACTGTTCTGGTCTTGCTGAACATCCTATTTTCTTTATTAGTCTTAAACTGGGTTGTGGGTTTTGTTTTGTTTTTTGGGTTGATGACATTGCAAGATTTCTGTTCCTGAGAAGTTCATTTGCTTTTGATTATACTCATTATTTAAAAAGTCACAATTCTGTGTTTATTGTAATTAACTGCTGTGGAGATGGCTATTCAGTCACAAATAAATATTATTAATTCAGTTGAGGAGTAACAAGATCAGATGAACTCTTAAGCCACAAAGATGCTGATTTCATACACATTTCTTATTTACTGTAATTAAAAAAACCAGTAGCAGCAGAATTATTTTTATAAGGTGTTAATGGTCTTTTGAATATCAACCATTACAAAAAAAAATTTATGGTAAGATAAAAAGTAATGATTAGATAATTCTCATCTAATTTTTGTGACATTTTCTGCTCTCATATTTTTTCAATTACATTATATACCTACCACAAGCTTTCAGATCATGTTGTTAGCTAGAATTTGTATTTGTTTGGGGTAATTTTTTTGTACTTTCTTTAACTATAGATTCCCTCTCCTCCTCTTCCCCCCCACCCCCCGTTTTCCCAACCAGCTTTAATCTTTCACTTTTTATTAAAAAGGATAAAGTGAGTTTCTTGCCTCTTATTTTAGTTTTTCTAAATTAAGTTGAAAAATTAAAAGCAGAGTTTTTTCTTCTTGTAATGGCTTTTTTCCCAGAATGTTATCAAGAGGGGCTTCCGAAAGGATTTCGCGTTTAATCTTCATTTTCTTTTTTTCTTTTTTTTTAAAGACTAATTGGAAGTGTAAATCATTCCTAATCTTTAGTAAAAAGTTAGTTTTTTAGTAGATAGTAGAAATAGCATTGAAATGTCTAGGAAATTTAACTAGGTTTAATCTTCAATTGAGAGGTCTCAATATACAGTAACCATTGTGTTTTGTATATTTACACTTGTCCCTTTCTAAAGTGACCTACCTGCAAGTGAATGGCTTTTGTAACTTAGGGCTAAGTTAAGAGGAAGATAGAGGTGCAGAAAGAGAGAACTAGAAAGATTAATTTTTTTGAAAGACAAACTATACTAGTTCTCAGATCATACAATTAATCACTGATTTAAAAATCTTATGTAAGTAAAGTGTAATCCTGTTGTTAACATTAATATGATTTAGAATCGATACTCCAAACATAATCCATAGTTTTAGTATGAAAATAACCACTGTTTGGAGTTACCTTTTAACTATCTGGAACACAGAATATGCTTCTGTTACAATGTAGATGGTGAATGAAATCATTTCATATTTTCATGATTGGCACTTATACTTTTGTGTGTACTCTTATTTACAGGGGACTGCTGTCTAGATCAATTTTGCAAGCACAAAGTGCCTCTCCAATCTTTACACACGTTTATGCAGCAGTTGTAGCAATTATCAATTCAAAGTTTCCAAATATTGGAGAACTGATTCTCAAGAGGCTAATTCTAAATTTTCGCAAAGGATATCGCAGAAATGATAAGGTAAGTAAGAAAAGCTTATGTAAGTACTTAAACAGTGCCACACTGTAACCAGTGATCCCACTAGTGTCTTATCCTATTACCGAGTGGTCAATAATGTATGTTTCAAAGGAATGTGTCTGACTTCCCAGAACCTGGCATAATGCACTATATTAATTGTAGTAGTAGTGGTAGTATAGCATGGTGGTCTTTTTATTAAACTGACCACATCTTATGCCCTGCAGTTTGAAGATTGAAAATCTTTTTAACTTCAGTTAATGCAACAACAGTGGCTTTAAAATAAAAGTGTATAATCCTTTTAATAATCTTAAAATAAATGCTTCGGTATCCTGCAGCAGTGCTTTAATAGATTCATAGACTGCCAGGCTATAAGGGGGAGCATTGTGATCATCTAGTGTGACTTCCTGTATCGCACAAGCCATAGGACTTCCCGGTGAATTTTAAATTGGGATTTACATAAATACACAGTTTGTGGGGTCTGTTTTTTAGTTGAGAGCTCTTTCAATATGTGAAGAAACTGAAGAATATTTAACCGTTTTTTTATTCATTTTTCAGCAACTTTGTCTGACAGCTTCAAAGTTTGTTGCACATCTAATCAATCAGAATGTGGTACGTTATTTTGTGTTTGTTATGGTTTCACACGTTATGGTTGTACTACAGGTTACACTTATAGCAATCTTTGAACAGTAAGGTGCTTAATTTATTACTTTTTTTAATAAAGAAAGGTTTATTTAAAAAAGGAACTAAGACCACAAACAAATACTATTTGCTTAGGGAAAGCAGGGATCTCTTAAGGTCTAGCTCTGCACTTCAGACTACGAGAGCAGATCCTAGTGCTCACAAAGAGCCCCAGTGCCTGCAGTGGAGCTTCTATACAGGCATAAGACTCTGTTCATGCAGAGACAGTTGCAGGATCATTGCCTAAAATAGTCAGCACCTAAACAACGTAGGGCTTTATAGATCAATATCAACCTCTTTAATTGCACCTAAAAACAAATTGGTGTCCAGCAGTTGTTTCCTTTTCTCCCCTCTAAATAAGCTTTAGCATTAAATGTAAAGGAGAGGAGCATGAAAGGAAGATGCCGAATTTTATTTCTCTAAATGATGTTTGATATTCGTGTTCCTTCAAAATGTGTTCCATTACCTTCATGATGGCAAAGATTTTCTTGCATTGCTTGACTGAATGAGGACAGCCATATTTGAGTAGTAGAGTGGTGTCCAATACAAATAATGTGCAAATATAAGAATTGAACCCTTATTTGAAATGCTGACTTTAGTTTATGTGGAAGTGGCAATATAACTTCCCACACTGAAACTAGGTGTACCAGTCACAAAAAGCATAGTTCTTGGTCAACTAGTATTTTATAACAATAGTGCAATAAAATGGATTGTAATTTTGGAAGTCAGAGGTTCTTGCTTTTATAAAACCCCTTACTATTTTTCTCCCTGAAGGCTCATGAGGTTTTATGTTTGGAGATGCTCACGTTGCTTCTTGAAAGACCAACAGATGACAGTATTGAAGTAGCAATTGGATTTCTGAAGGAATGTGGACTCAAATTAACTGAAGTTTCTCCTAGAGGTATTAATGGTGAGTATAATTAGTTGGTATAATTACCTTTAAATTTGTAGTCTTTTTATTAGTATCTGATCACTTCAGATTAGAATTAGTTTTTCTCTTTAATCTAAAGCAATCTTTGACCGCCTTCGCCACGTTCTTCACGAATCTAAAATTGACATGCGCGTTCAGTACATGATAGAAGTTATGTTTGCTGTACGTAAGGATGGATTCAAGGATCACCCAATCATTCCAGAGGGACTAGACCTAGTAGAAGAAGAGGATCAGTTTACTCATATGCTACCTTTAGAAGATGATTATAACCCAGAAGATGTTCTTAGTAAGTGAGAAGTAAAAATTTAACTTTACAATTTCATTCTGTATAAAAACAAATTTAAGATGAAACATGCAATAATTTTGTTCTTTTTCTTAGTTTAAATAAGATTTTATTTTATTTTAAAGATGTTTTCAAGATGGATCCTGACTTCATGGAAAATGAAGAGAAGTACAAAACCCTTAAGAAGGGTATGTATATCAGGTTCATTTAAGTGGGGTATAAAATTAGGAAGCATATGATAGCATTCTAGCAAGTTTATAGATAGTGTTTTGTAGGGGGTAGTGGTAGAAAAAAATTGCCAACAATATTTAGTGAGGTAAAAGCTGATTTTAATTTTAGCTGAATTTTTCTTATTGAAATAATGATGTAGGACTGCACATATGCACAATGAGAGAGACAACACTTTTCTTATTACAGTGCTCCATAAATATTGTCAGTTACTTACATCTTTGTTGTAGTTGCACAATTTTAAATCTGCCATTTGTGTCCCAAAGATTTGTATAGTAATAGTTTAATACACCTGTAATAAAGATTTTTCTACTGTGTGTTCTTTGGCAACACTTCTGTGTTTCCAAATGACAATCCCGCTTTCAAATATGAAATCTATTATTTTAAAAGTAATATTGGTTGTAAAGTAAATGTAAGGCAGCTTTTTCTCCCCAAGAACAGGAATCTCTACATCTCCTGAGAGCACTGAGTACATTGCTTTTCCTCCTGAGCCTTTGTCACAATTATTTTTCCTCTGAGTTGAGTTTCAACACAGAGCCCTCCGTTGCTTGCCCATGCCTAATCAGTCTGTGAAAGGAATTTTGAAAATAGGTTTTTGGAAAAGTAACAACAAGTTTCCCTCTCCACCAGTTTTTCATCCTTGTATGCCTGAATTGAGTTTGGCATCCCTATTTTTGGGGGGATCCTTCTATTTGTCTATCTGCCATATATTTTAATATACTTGTTACTATGGTATCTAGGCCCTCTGGAGTCCCATTTTTCTAAGCCCTGTGTCAGAATGACTTTCCTTCTGTTGAAGCTCGGTTGCAGCATATCTTCATGCTCCAGCTTTGTCAGGCTTTCCCTCCCTTAGGACTAGACATACCCCAAGGTATTTGGGCCACATCTCTGCGTCACTAGGCATATAGTCCTAGGCATATATTTACTCTGAAATTTTGCTTCTAGAAATTCTTGATGAAGGCGATAGTGACTCAGAAACAGATCAAGATGCTGGAAGCAGTGAAGAGGATGAAGAAGAGGATGAAGAGGATGAAGAAGGTAGGAGTATGATTATAGACATTTACTATTGATCTTTTTTGTGGTAGATCAAGAAAAGAAAATCTCAAAATGTAACTTGCTATATGCTATCTGAAGCAATTGAGATTTAAAGTGTGCAGTCAACAAAAATCACATTTCTATTTAAAATTTGTTTTTACTTTTACAAGATTAAATATGCTTATTTTTCTTTTTTCAATTTGTTTATTTTGTCTTTGACTGCACTTTGTGCATATTAAGTTTCATTTTTGTTGATGGTGCATATCCTCCCACAGGCTCTGCAAGAGGGTGTTTACCAATTATAGCAGCAGCAAGGCTAAAACTGAAGAGGTGGGAGGAAGTGGGTAGAGTCCATAGACAGCAAAACAGGAGTAGGGAGGAATTTGTGGCTTTGTATGTTTGATTGTGTCAGTTGCATTCCCGAAAGATCCCTATAAATATAAACCAGGGAGTAGAAAAATTGTGATTTTTCTGAAAGAATTTTTAAGAACAGTTCAGGACATACAGGGAAACCCTGCTATAATGTGCCCCGCGATAATGCAAATTCGGATATAGCGCGATCATAAGGTGGCTCCCGTGGCTCCAAGCGCGCAAAAAAAAAAAAAACCACCACCACCAGCCCGAGCGCCGCTGAAGCACCAAAAAAAAAAAAGGAATGTGCCTTCCCCACTGCCTGTTCCCTCTTAGGCTCTTCCCGCCAAAAGGAGAAGCGGGGGTTTCTCCTCCCCAGCTGCTCCTCACTCTTCCTCTGCCCTTTGCACATCTCCCCTGCTCTCTGCAAACAAACAAACAAAAAAGTGTCCGGAGTGCCACCGAAGCACCAAACAAAAAACAAAAAAAATGTCCGGAGCACTGCTGAAGCACAAAACAAACAAACAAAAAAGCAGCTGGAGCGCTGCCGAAGCACAAAAACCCGGCCGGAGCGCTGCCAAAGAAAACAAAAAAGGAACGTGCCTTCCCCACTGCCTCTTCCCCCTACTCCTGCTTCTCCTTTTGGCGGGAAGCGCCATTCTCCTCCCCAGCTGCTCCTCATTCTTCCTCTGCCCCTTGCACATCTCCCCTGCTCTCTGCCCAAGAGAAATTGACTGGCTTGAAACGGTAAAATTTTTGTAACCCCGCTATACGACGACCCCGCATTTATCACGATCGAATTTTTTGGACCCCAATCATCGCGTTATAGCGGGGTTTCCCTGTACTATTTGTGCTCTGTCTGAATGTTTTAAGGTCAATTTCAAAATTCAAGTTTGCAATTACTTTTCAACTAATGTTTTTTAAAAAGGGAGTTTCAAGACAGGATAATTTATTGTACAGACCATTGTTACAAGTTATTTACTCCAAATAAACAATCGTATTGGTGTCTGTGCATTTTGTAGAATGTCTTATGTAATTACTGAAAAGGATAGGATGGATGAGAATAAGTTTAGATGTTTACTTTGTAGGTCTGCAAAATCTAGAAGGAAAGCTCTATTCTGTTTGTAGAGCAGTGGGAATCGTTTCTTCACCAGCTTGTTGTTGTAGTATACAAAAAAAATAAACACAGAAATGTACCTAAGTAGCAGGCTGAAGAAAAAGATGGTAATTCACAGAAGCCTGTTATCACTTTTGCTGCATATTTGAAAACTTCCATATGAAATAGATGTTAATTGCCTTCAGAGCAGCTGTTTAGATATTTTAGTCCTTTTTAATTCTGTTCCAGTGCATGACATCAAATATCCACTATGGGCCTGATCCAACTACCATTGATGTAAATGGAAAGGTTCCTGTTTATGTCAATGGGAGCTGGGTCTGGTTCTACATACACACAATTCTGTAAGTAATTGTCTTTATTAAACTTTGGTTTAAACATTTTGTTTTAATAAATTTTGTAGTCCCTGTTCAAGTTCTGGATGGCTAAACGTCAGCCAGCCAGCATACGAAAAGAAAATGTTCACTCAGTTAGCCCCAGATCATAAACAGGTGTCTATTTCTGCGCAGGCATATGGTTTCTGCCCTTTGCAAAATCAGGACGTTAATACATGTATCATTGAAAATTGTGAATGACTTGTGAATTTGATTGATTTTTTTTTTTAAGTTGTAGTCTCATATCATGCAAGTACCAGTGTTTTGTAAAAGTTTACAGCACCTACTAAATGCTCCTAAATGTATTTATACACAATATCACATAATTGACTGAAGGCTTACTGAAGATGCATACACCTCTACTTTCTTAGAATGTATGTCTCTGCTTCAATTTCTAAATATCCAATTTTTTTTCTTCAAGGACAAAAGGTGACGATCCATGACCAAACCGAAATTAACCTGGTCTCCTTTCGTCGTACAATTTATCTTGCTATTCAGTCAAGGTAAAATGCAGTATAATTCATACTGAAAAAAGTGTGTGGTCCTCTAGAAATTAATGCATTTATATTGAATCTGTTGAATACAGGGTTGTTAATAGCTTTATCATTATATTACAGACTTATAAACAAATTGAAGAGATGTTTTAGAGTGGGGTGGGCAAACTTTTTGGCCCAAGGGCCACATCTGGGTATGTAAATTGTATGGCGGGCCATGAATGTTCATGAAATTGGGGGTTGGAGTGCGGGAGGGGTGAGGGTTCTGGGGTGGGGCCAGAAATTAGTTCAGGGTGTGGGAAGGGGCTCCGGACTGGGACAGACGGTTGGGGTGCGGGGACAGGGTGAGGGCTCTGGGGTGGGGCTGAGGATGCGGAGTTAGGGGTATAGGAGGTGCTCTGGGCTGGGACCGAGGGGCTCATAGGGTGGGGGGTGGGGATTAGGGCAGGGGGTTGGGGCTCAGGAAAGGGTCAAGGGTGCAGGCTCTGGGTGGGGGTTAGTGGGAGCTGTGGGGGCAATGCTTGTAGGAGCCGGAGGGGGGACATGCTGCTGCTTCCGTGAGCCACGCAGAGCCACAGCATGGAACCGGGCAAGCCCCAGCCTCCACTTCCTGGTGGGAACTTGAGGGCTGGATTAAAACATCTGAAGGGCCGGATGTGGCCCCCGGGCCATAGTTTGCCCACCCCTGGGCTAGATGAACCATTGGTCTGACCCAGAATGGCCATTCTTAAATTCTTAATTTAGAGATGATTTAGTACATTACATTTCTAAACTTCCTTTTTGGGTGAAGACTTTTAAAAGGTTACACTAGATCATGTTTCTGTTTTATGGAGCACTAGTACAGTCAGGGCAGATTGGGGGTACGGGGAAGCAGTACTTTTTCAGACTCTGCCCACAAAATAAGCTTCACCCATGTGAATCTCCAGTCTTAGAGCAAATTGTGTAAATATGCAAAATATAATAGCATGTGTTGCTTGGCTCCCTTTCGTTGTTTCTTGAACGTGCCATGAACTCTGATAGGCTCCTTGGGCTTGGCTTTTTCATGAGAGTTAAAAAAGAACTGGTAGTTTCTGCCAAATACTAGCCTCTTGTGGTACCAAAATGAGTCATTGCTCAAAGTAAATTGTACAGATGGGTGATCCTCTTTCTCCTTTCCTACATGAGGAATGAAATAGTGAACAATAATTTATTACTGGGCAGCTGAGTTAACACCTTACAGAGATGAATGGAGGCAGTTCATATATCTCAGAACTATTGTTCCAAGCTCTCTTCAGACTCTCCTCAGGACTTGTCTGCGATACACAGTTTAATTGACAAAAGTCAGCAGAGCCATGAAATTGATAGCTGGCTCCATACTCCGGGTGCGAATCTCCCCAACGGAGGCGAGAAGGCCCAGGCGACTTCCCCCCGCTCCGAGCTGGGTGCGGAAAGGCAAGAAGGCCTGGGGGGCAGCGGGGCTCCCGGTGGGGAACTGCGTGGAGTTGAGAGCCCTGGGTCTCAGTCCCCACACTGCCACTCTTCAGTTGGTGGAAGTGCTGCTGGTGAGGACGTACATCATCGACAGAAAGAGGGTGGTGTGGACATCAGCCACTACTATAATTAAGCGGTGGCTGTAAGTCGACTTAATGTAGGCAGCTTATCTTTGTAGCATAGATTTAGCCTCATTGTCAGTTACTTAGTCAACAGTTTTAGAATTTCTTCACAACATAACAGCTGTAACCATAACAGCATAACAGTAACAGCATTTTTTAAATGAAAACTGAGATGCTAAAGATCAGATAGCAACTTCAGAAAAGTATATGGGTATGGGTACAGAGGTTACATTTTGGTATTTTACAGGAGTTAGTCAGAATGAACTAACATACTAGTTTGTTACTAGACTTTGTGTATTTCCATTTTGTATGATGTAATAGCAATGTCTCATAAGAGAGTCATCTTGTTTTTAGTCTGTCTGCAGATTTATTGGTTTTGGATTCACTTTCAGATACAAAATTGTTAAATAGCAGAATGCTGTTTGGAAATATTTTAGTTTAAGCTTGAGAACTTTTTAAGGAAAGTTGTTGAACACAGTGCTTTTGATGAGTAATTAAAGTGTGGTGAAAGGAGAATTTATTCAGTCTTCTTTAAAATGCAGATCATAGTTTTGATTTAGACAGCTTTCCCCCTATTGTTTCATTTGTCATCATACTTCAAATACTGATTTTCTCTACCACCCTTATGTTTGGAAGGAGCTAAAACTAGCATTGCCAGGGCATTTTAACAGCAATAAGTTCAATTACATCATATTTTTATCATGTTAAAACACTGTGGTTTGTATGCTTAACATCATTGATATCAGCATAATTCTGTATGTGTTTTTAACATAATGTGTACTCAAGGGAATACAAACTATTTTCTTTGCAGCTTAGACTTTGAAGAATGTGCTCACAAATTGCTGAAGATGGACTTTCCTGACAGTCAAACTGTAAGTAAGCCTTGCTTTTTATTCCCTTTCTGTTTCTCGGGGGGATGAGGGGGAGAGGGAGTATAATTTGATCATTAACATTTTAACAAAATTAATATTCACGTGATATACACCTACAATGCAATCATGTTACTTATAAAATGGAATTAACTGCTATTACAACTATTATTTCTCAAAATGATCATTATGTAATCTTTATGACAAATACCATGACATTTGATTTTTGTTTGTTTGGTTTTTGTTTTTGTTTTTGTTTTTTCTTTCTCATTTAGCAGTTACCAGCTAAGTTCCCTCTAAGCTGCATGGCTGGGTGGCCGCCCAGCCAGCTATCAAGTGCAGTGCACTTCAGGTGTCCCTCCCCCCACTGAGTGCTGCTCTTGCCCTCTGCCTTGGAGCCCCTGGCCAGCTGCTTCCGGGAGCCTCCCGCTAGCTGTGCGGAGTAGGGGAGGGAGGGAAGAGGGGAGATGCTGATGTCAGGGTGTCCCCCACCCTGTACCCCCTCTCCACATAGTGTGTGGAGGTAACAGGGCTCAGGCTGGAAGGAGCTTGCTGGCAGCTGTCGCTGTGTCTCAATAAGCGGGCTTCAGACTGCTGAGTGCCGATCTACCTCAAGGGGCAACTTGTGTCTCTCTCTCACACACACGCACGGTCTCTCTCTCTCTCTCTCTCTCTCTCTCTCTGTCACACTCCCCTTCTAACACATACTTGTGGTGGTGGTGGTACTTCTTGCAAAGTGTGTTTTAGTTTTTGACTGCATTTCATAATTTTTATTTCTCTATTATACTTAAATGTAATTCTTTTGAGTAGTGAGTTCTAAAATCCCTAACCTGTCCTGTCTGGAAGTAATTATCCCTATGGTAGCTTTTTAAAAATATATATTGTATCTAGGTTTTTTGTTTCTACTGGTGATGCACATCCGCACATTACCTTGATATGGTGCACATAACAAAATTCATTCCACTCATTAACAGAAAAAATTAGAGGGAACACTGGTTAGCAGTTTAGATAGTTGGGTGAAATTCCTTCTTTTCAATATACATTTTTAACTATAAAGTTACGTCATTCTATTTATAAAAATGTTTGTTATACAAACTGTTGAAATGTTGTCATTTGCCACAAATGACAAAACTACTACTATAGAACAGCTACAACTTAGAGGCCAGAGAATGTCTCTGAAGGAAGATTTTTTTAGTAGGTTTCTGGATAGCTGTTGATTTTATCTGTTCAGCTAGAAATTCAACACAATTGCTTCAAAAGATGGAATTGTATCCTGTTTTTATGGGGATGCTTTACAAAAAGGTTTTGTTGCTTTCACAGTCTTGTTTGAACAATATGTACTGTATTAAGCAATCATCTCCAAGTATGGCTGTTTCGATGGAAACTTGAAGAGCGTCTAACTGTTTGTGTGCAGATAGTACATCTAAAATCCATTTGACTGCTCTGTTTTCTGAAAAGGAAATTGCTGTTTGACTATGAAACCAGATCCTGAAGCGGTGGGCAGGATCTAAATAGCCATGTAATTTCCAAGACAGATATTTAGTCAGAGGTGAGATTGTACCTCTTTCATGCATTGAACTTCAAAGTCACAATTCCGATACCTAAGCTAGAGCTCACTTATCTGTTGATTATTGACAATCTTTTATTTGAAACAAAATATGATCCAGAGATGCATGAAGCTCATTTTTATCAATGCAACAATTAGTGCAGGTGAAGTTGATACGATATAAATATCTTTTCTCTGGACAAAAAGGAACTGTTGACGCCCTTTTGGAAAACTTCGATAAATATTATAATTAGAAATTATTTTTGCTGTTTACTATGTTTTCTTATTAAGGTTATTTGCAGATAAATAGGAGACTAAGAGGTTATCTGATCCTGCTGTGTATTTCCCTATCTGAAGCTCTAAGTAATTTTGTAGGAGATGATTCAGCAGGGAATAAATGTGATGTTAAGCAGTAGAGGATTATGATTTCCAGGGATTTCCAGAGGCATAACCAGAAAATTCTGAACAGAAAAAAATCTTGTCAGGCAAATCCGTTTAGTTATTAAGAACAAATCCAGAAAATACAGTTTACAGTACAGTGTGTACTTTTATACCACTCTCATTAGGTGACTGCTCCAAGGTTCACAACCATTTATCCAACTTTAATGCATCACCAAACAACTCCATACAACCATCAACCACCTGCAAATGGTCCAGGCACCAGCAGCACTCTCTCATAAGAGTCTATTTTCAAAAAAACCCTACCACACTCGTAAGGCCTTGCAGCATGGCTACTGAGGATGTTGTTCAGGCATAGTAGCTGCTTGTTTAAATCACATTTGTGTATTGGGTATCCAAAGCACCCATACCATCTCCTCCACATAAGGACACTGAGGATACTGTGTATCAGGGCATCCTGACTTCCCTAACTCTACTCCTAAATTGCCAAAGATGCAATATGTGTATGATGGCCAGGTGAGTAGAAAACTTCACTGAGCAAATGCAGAATCTAAGATTTCATCTTTTTAAAAAGCACCTGTCCTAGCCTGCATTGATGTGAAGGTTATCTTTTGAGTTGAAATCATCACAGTGCTGAATTCCCAAATCAGTAGGCAGTGTCAGTGCCTTTGCTCCTGCCCTGAGCTTCCACAGCCTGAAACAAAGCAAAAGCTGACAAATTTTGTCAGTTTTTGCTGTTTTTCAGACTCCTGCAGCAACAGTAAAGCTGAAGAGAGTCAGGTCAGGTTCATTCTGCTGAAGTTTGGGGAAGCTTTGAGTAATAGCAGAAGGTGGCTCGGAGACTGTTTACTGGGGAAGACAACTCAAAATATGAATGATGGGAGAAGGGTACAATAGTGGAAAATGCTCCCCATTCAGCATCCAGAAAGATGGGAAAGAGGTGGAGTAGAGAGAAGTCCATATCCTCACAGTGGCCAGGAAGTTCTGAGATGTGGGGAGGAAGACTAAAGGAGAATACCCCTTCTCCATCCCAGAAGCCAGACTTGTTGTTTGACCGGACTCCATTTTTCATAACAGGCTCTGGCTAGTACAGTGGTTCCCAAACTTTTTATTAAAGTGACCCCGAAGAAAATCCCCATGACTCTGGGACCCTCCCATCCCACAGGGTCCAAGAGGCCAGGCTCCAGCCTGAGCCCAGAAGTCTACACAGCAGTGAAACAGCCTTACAGCCTGAGCCCCATAAGCCCGAGTTGGCTAACACAGGCCAGCCATGGGTGTCTAGTAGCTGTGTAGACATACCCTTAGAGATTGGTTTTAAGAGAACAAAAGTGAGACAGAAAATACATGGTGAGGTGGAGAGCACAATGCACGGAAAGTGAAAGAAAGATGAAGGTGAGAGATTAAATAAGAAAAAACACACTGAAGACAAATTGGAAAAAGATCTGCCATGATTTACTATAGAAATAATATAGAAAGAGTTAAGACAGCAAAGGAAAAAAGATCTGTAATTGGAGTTGATTGAATAGTACTTGGCAAAATATATTATTCAATCAATTTTACTGGTATGAGTTAAATAACTTATTCAGTTACTCCTTTTTTGTGGTTTTCAACCAGCTTTATAGTTGGTCAGATACTACTCAGAAAAATGTATTTAGATTAGTACTGGTAGAATTGATTTATTTTACAATTCAGTATGGGATACAGTATAACAGTACACAACTTGTTCATGCTTTTCACTGTGGGGGGAGTGGCTTTGGAACAGTGACCTTTTCGGGGAGCCTCATGTACAAGTGGTGTTTGCATGTTTGAATTTTAAACCAAGGCTAGTAGGCTGAAAAATCCCACAGGACAAAAACAGTCTTTGTTCTTGTTGGCTCCTTCCCAACCGACCGGATCTGATTTCGCAAGATCACGGGAGCCTCCTACACCCCAGTCTCTCCTCCCTCCACATCATGGTGTGGATGCTGCGTGGTTGAACCCGGAGGAGCGGACCTGCTCTTAACGAGGTCCAGCAAATCGTCCTGGAAAGCAGAAAGCCTTCCACTAGAGCAACCTACCTGGCCAAGTGGACGAGGTTCTCCCACTGCGCGTCTGAGGGTAGCATCTCTCTGTTGTGCTCCTCCTTACAATCTATCTTAGATTACCTGCTTCATCTTAAGAACCATGGTATGACCCTCTCTTCCATCAGGATGCACCTTGCAGCCATCTCCGCTTTCAGCCACCAATCCCAGGTCAGACAGTGTTCTCACACAACATGTTGGTCAGATTCCTGAGAGGCCTCAAGAGACTCTTCCCGCTGGTCCAGGCTCCGATCCCACAGTGGGATCTTAACTTGGTTCTTTCTAGGCTCACGGGTCTGCCCTTTGAGCCTATGGCCTCCTGCTCCCTTTCCCACCTGTCACGGAAGGTCGCTTTCCTTGTGGCGGTAACATTGGTGAGACCAGTGTCGGAGATTAAAGCCCTGACATCGGAGCCACCATATACAGTGTTCTTCAAGGACAAAGTTCAATTGCGTCCCCATCCAGCCTTTCTGCCGAAAGTGGTGTCTTCCTTCCATATCAACCAGGACATCTTCCTCATGGTGTTTTGTCCCAAGCCGCACAGTGAGGAAAGGAGGCTACATACCTTGGACGTTAGATGTGCCCTGGCATTTTACCTGCAGCGTACCAAGCCCTTCCGCAGGTCAACTCAATAGCAGACAGGATGAAGGGCCTTCCGGTGTCCTCACAGAGTATTTCCAACTGGATCACCTCCTGCATCTGGACCTGTTACAAGCTGGCACAGGTCCTACTGCCGCCAATCATGAGGGCCCATTTGACCAGAGCTCAGGTGTCCTCGGCAGCCTTCCTGGTGCACGTTCCCATCCAGGACATTTGCAGAGCCATGAAGTGGTCTTTGGTTCACACGTTCACGGCTCATTACGCCCTCACGCAGCAGGCCAGAGATGACGCTGGGTTTAGCAGAGTCGTGTTGCAATCTACACGTCCTTGAACTCGTGCTTGCTACGACCTGGCCGGTGCCCTGACGATGCGCCTCACCGCCCACTCCACGAGGGCCC